GGGGGGAGAGAAGTCAGGCGGAGATTTGGCGAAAGAAATGGGGGAGGGAGATGGTCGGGCGGAGGGAGGTTGAGGAGGACGAAACGGTCGGGAGGAGACTGGGATGAAGGGGAAACGCGGCAGAGAGAAGTCAGGTGGAGGGAGGGAAGAGGTCAGGCGGAGAGAGAGAGAGAGAGAGAAATGAGGGGGAGAGAAGTCAGGCGGAGATTTGGCGAAAGAAAAGAGGGGAGGGAGCAGAGAACGGGCGAAAGAAATGGGGGAGGGAGATGGTCGGGCGGAGGGAGGTTGAGGAGGACGAAACGGTCGGGAGGAGACTGGGATAAAGGGGAAACGCGGCAGATAGAAGTCAGGTGGAGGGAGGGCAGAGGTCAGGCGGAGAGAGAGAGAGAGAGACGGAAGGGATTGAGTAGGACGAAGATTATGAGGAAGGGGAGAAAAACATCGATTGGAAGATCATGAGGAGGAAGAAGAGCGCCAAGAGGAGGAAGAGCGTGTGGAGATTGAATAGTGTCATCCCTGTAGGGCCATGCAAATCTTAAGTGTCCGTCCTAGAAAAAAAGATGAAAACCAGCCCAGTTAATTGACATACAGGCGCGTGAAGAGGAGGGAGAATGAAATGAGAGAATGGGATTCAAACGGAGGGAAAAAAACAAGGTGCGAGCTCAGCCGTGTGTGTGTGTGTCTGTGTGTGTGTGTGTGTGTGTGTGTGTGAGAGAGAGAGAGAGAGAGAGAGAGAGAGAGAGAGAGAGAGAGAGAGAGAGAGAGACTTTCCCACTGTCCACGAAGTGATTCTAACTGTGTGCTCGGGCTCGCACGTGTGTGTGTGTGTGTGTGTGTGTGTGTGTGTGTGAGAGAGAGAGAGAGAGAGAGAGAGAGAGAGATGGGGAGAGGGAGTTCCCCACTGTCCACGAAGTGATTCTAACACGTGATGCTCGGTTTCTTCTTTGGTTTTTGCCTTCCAGGAAATGCTCCAAGATGTATGCCCAGCATTACGGCTCACATGATAACTGCTTCCTAGAACTTTCCCAGGCGAACAGCAACTTCCAAGCATATTGAAGGGGACTTTCAACAACTTCCCCCGGCCAATTCTCAATCACACCATCCCAGCTGACCCCCTGCCAATTCTAAATCACGCCATTTCGGCCCACCGACCAGAGTCTCACACGCACATACATGCCTGTGCACACTCACACACACAGTGTCAAAACTCAGCAAGTAAGCCTATGGAATCCATGCCAGATCGGTTGATCACAGACATGTTCAGAAAACATGGCAAACAGAATTGGAAACTTGAGCAAAAAGATTTAAGGGGAGAGTGTTTTCTCTGGAAACTTGTGAAAAGTTCAAAGTTCTCGGACTGCAACTGTTTGTGTCATTTCGCAGAACACAAAACAAGAAATGATGCGGAGAAGTTGACTACTTCTCGAAGAAAATGCGCACAGTACTGTTTCCTTGCAAGCCAGCTGCAATGGGTCATCTTGCAATCTGATTAACAGAGCAAATCCTCCGAATTACCGGGCCAGGAATGCGTCGCGACTTTCGGGGCACGGCCTATCTGAGCTAAGGGCAGCCATAAAAGAACAGGTGCCAGTTCGATTTGTTTGGGCGCCCAGGGCGTTTCTAGGCCTGGGAAGGGAATGGTCATAAGTATCGATGGTTTAATTCTCTGTCTCCAAAGTGGCGTGGGGCACGGACTATGTCTTTATTGGGACTCAGAAGCAGGTTAATTCTGTCTCCAAAGTGCCAGGAGAGGGGGGGGGGAGAGAGGCGGTGGGTTGTCTTTATGGTGTGGAGGTGTTTGAGCTATGTCTGTCTCTATTGTGGCTGAGGGGGTAATTCTTTGTATCCAATAACTAACGCCTAAAACGCTCTTCTTCCCCATGAAGCTTCGATGTACTTTGTTCATCTATGTTTTTTTCCAAGTAGTTCACCATTGATGTTTTTATTACCGAGTTGCATATCCCCCATTTTTTGGTTGCAGTATTTACGTGGTATTGGAGTTTTCATGCGCAGTAATCTGAATTCCATCAATACCCCTTTCTCACGCGGGCGGAGCTGTGCTGGCTTTTCTTGTTATTGAATAAGAATGGATATCTCCTTACAGCGACTGTGTTAAGCTCAGCTAGAAGGGAGGTGTGCAGTGGTGCACAGGGATGTAGTATGGTATTCTTATCTGCTGTGCCGGAATATTTTGGTATGGATGGATTATGAACTAAGTGTTGGTGAGATGTCTTTTGCAGGCTGGCATTGTGAGGGAAAAGGTCTTCGGGACATCGAAGGACAGAATGGTCTATATTGAGAACTGTGCAAACTCGAGGGCAGTGACCATTCTCATCCGGGGAGGTCAGTGCTTCTCGGTGGCTTTTCTTGCCTCTCAAGTAACATGTTGCATTTGCTGGAGTTTTGTAATTCATGGAAAACGTCCAGAATGTTTTGTCCATAGATTGGCAAAGCAATCCAAGTCTTAGAGCTGGACGTGTGCGTGCGTGCGTGTGTGTGGGTGGGCGGGCGGGGACATGCAGCATTTGTGCGCCTGCGGCGGGSGGATACGTGCGTGTGTGTGTGTGTGTGGGTGGGTGGGCGTGCGTGTGTGTTGGTGGGGGCGGGAGGGTGGGTGCGTGCGTATGTGTGTGTGGGCTGCGTGCGTGCCTCTTCTCTTGGAAACCTGTCCCTGAGCTTGAAATGATTCACATGCCTCTGAAATTACCCTCTTTGTCTCTTGACACCCACTCGGTACTAGCTAGCTTAATTATGCTCATTCCATACTGTATCCAACGAGCTGAAATCTGTCAAGCTCGAGGATTGATGCGACAAGTGTAACTGAGGGTGTAATTGGACCTTCGGGACATCCTTCAAAGTTGGAATGATACAGAGAAGATTAGCATTGCCCCTGCACAAGGATGACACGCATAAATGGAGAAATAGTCCAAATAAGTTGAATGAAAACCAGCTAAGGGTGTAATTAAACAAAAAAACTATCTTAGGGTGTGATTACGCAGCATACCAATGTGCATTCGCAGTGTACTTACGAGTCTCTCCTTGTATACTTCGCCCTAACATTCAGCTGCGATGGTGACAAGTGAACAGAATGCCACAAGTGAGAACCAGCACTGGCGATGATGATGCTGTAATTCGAGATGAAATACGCGACAGGTCAGAAGAAAATGTCTTTCTTTCTTTTTTCTTGTCTTTGAAATACGAAACAAGTCAGAAGAAAATGTCTAACTCTAAGAAATAAGGAACTTCTAATGCTATAGCGTGGAGCTAATTGAGAATCAGCTTCTGGTATATCAAAAGGAGCACGATTCTTTTCCGCTAAACAAGAAATAGGAAATAGAGGTCGATTGAGGAAGAGGGGGAATACCAACGGGCTTAGCTCGGTTGGTACACCCATGAACTGTTGAAATCCAGACCTATGTTGGAATCCAGATTCAATCGGATAAAAAAGGCAAAAGTAATTCTAAGTTACCTGAGGCCAGTCAACTCAATGATGATATCTCCTATTTTTTTAAAGGCCAGTCGCCTTTTTTTTTCCTTTTTTTAAAAAGGAAAAAGGGGAATACCAAACCATATCTGTTTTTTTGCTATATGACAATTTCCGTGAAATCACAAAGAACCTAACGGGAAAAAAATTATACAGTAATTTAATAAGACCAATGGAAACTTCGTTAGAAACCATTTGAGCAGCAGATCGGCTATGGTCTCTGGAGTGAGTTCGTCATTTCAGGTGGCTTTCATGCACAGTGATGATACTGCTCCGTCATCTCCAAGAGCATGTTCACAGTAGGACCTTTGTAGACGTATCTGGTGGCAAATACGGCAGGTCCTGCATGAATGTGACCGCAACCGTGTTCGTAGACGTTTCTGGTGGCGATTATGGCAGGGGTCTATGGATGTATGTGATCAGAACAATGTCCAGAGATAAAATGTCTGTGAGTATGTCCGAAGCGTTGGAATCTAGAACTTCAACATCACAGTTAAGAACGGCAGTGACAGCGGGGTAAGATGTGTGGCTCAGGAGGGACCCGAAGGTGGGAGTAGACATGTGGTGCCGACCTAAACCGAAGCTCGGAAATTCAATCTGCATGCAGAACTACGGGTGCAAACCAGGCGAAGGCAATGTGGTAGTTAAAGAAACACGAAGCAGCGCCTCTCACTCTGTTTCAGAGCATGGATTTTGCATTTTTAATTTTTGTTGGTTTTCATCACGCCTCGGTTCTTTGTGTGCGTGGCCATTGACTTGTGATCAACCTCTCTTTTTGTGCAGGCAACAAGATGGTGGTCGAAGAGGCAAAGAGGAGTCTTCATGATGCCCTTTGCGTGGCACGGAACCTCATCCGTGACAATAGCATCGTGTATGGAGGCGGGTCTGCAGAGATTGCCTGCTCATTGGCGGTGGAAGCGGCAGCGGACACTGTGGCAGGTGTTGAGCAGGTGGGGTTCAATTGTAATTGTGGAATGTGTGGTTCTGTTTAGAAAATCACAACAATTGGCCACTTTTGAGGTTAAAACTGAGACTGCTGGGAAGGGCTCCGGTGTGCAGTCTTGTGTTGTCTGTTATATTCTGTGGCATCCTGTCTGCTAGGGAGGGTGATGAGGTGGATGTTTTGGGGGGGCTGGGACATCGAGCATCAGGGACAAGGAGCAGGTGGTTCCTACATTGTTCAGGCAGTTATTATTGACTGATGAGATACTATGGCACCTGTCATGGAATAGGGAATGTATATTTTGCTGCAGCGTACCCGAGGTCTATGTCACATACCTCTCCATGGAGAAATCTCTTTTGCTTCTGTGAACAAGATCACGAAATGTCAAGGCGACTTCCATGTGTGTGTGTGTGCATGAGGGAGAGAGAGAGAGAGAGGATGCATATTGCCCTCAAGCACAAGATACGAAACAGTGAAAAATGATTGTAAATTGAAGTCTTGTCTTATACAACACGTTTGCTTATACAAGCTGGGCGGCTGTGACCACCAGCTACCACAACCTGGGTGGATCTCTCTCTCTCTCTCTCTCTCTACCCTACCAGCGGGAACGTCTTCCTTCTTTTCTACTACTGCTTACCGCAGCACACTTGTGGCTCTGTCGCACAAGAGTGAAGCAGTGTTTCCACAACAGCACGGAATGAATTGATATTCTTGCTAACTGCTGTTGTGTTTTTGTAAATAATGCTTAGCTTCCCACAATCTCGAACACCTCGGATTGGTACCCTCGCTTGCTGGCTGGGGCTTGGCCTTCAATGTGTCCCAGTTATGTTCTGGTGACTTACCTGGGGCCAAGCTGCTGACTGGACTGACTGAATGGACACGCCACACATCTAGTTCGAACAAAAACACACAAGTCAGTGGCTTAAAAAGTCTTTGAGACATTTTTAGTTTTTTGAAGGATTTGAGGAATTCCAACAACAAAAACACAACATGACTTAAGAAGTACAGTTGCATTGTCTTGGAGGTTTCCTTGTTCATGTTGTTGTTGTTGTTGTTGTTGTTGTTGTTGTTGTTGGGATTAGACGAGTCCTTGAGAACTCAGAAGTACATGTGGTGTTGCCTTGAGGGGGTTTCTTTAGTCATGTTGTGTGTTGTTGTTGTTGGAATTAGTCGAGGGTCGATATATGTCGTGTATTTTCAGCGAGCGTGCCTCATGTGTGGCTTTTGTTGAATCTCCAGATTTCATCCCCGCCATTCACACGTGTTTCTTTTTTGCGACTTGCAGTATGCTATGCGCGCATTTGCTGACGGTCTGGACTCTGTGCCAATGGCACTTGCCGAGAACAGCGGTTACCAGCCGATCGAGAGTTTGACTGCTGTGAAAGCAGAACAGATGAGGGTAAGTTTAGTGTTTTGTCCTTATCCTTGTTGCCCTATTTAATTTCCATTCCCCCCAACTTCCCCCCGCCCCCCTGGCCCGCGCCCCCCCCTCTTCACTGTGTTGGCTTGCTTTTGCATTTCTGGTTTCTTCTCCTCCCCTGCTCTTCTTTTGTTTTGTTTTGTTTTGTTTTGTTCTTTTTTTGTTTTGTGAAAGTAGCTCCTGCCTCTTTTCTTTGCATCTGTCCTCTGTTATTCTCTGGCATCTTCATCGGTCTTCATTTCCTTGGAAGACTTTCTCCGCCAGTGTCTATCTGTCTGGAATGAAGCTAGCCACAGTGCAGTCTGTCTGAGGCCTGTGACACACGACCCATGTGCCGCTCTGAAGGAAGCGGTTTGCTTTTGCAATTGCATGCCCTCGTTCACTTTGTTCACTGTCATAGCACCGTAGTTGCTTGTGGGGAGTTGAATGCAGTTGCTAGTGCCTGTGTGATGCCTTTCTAGGGTGGCCCTTTTTCAGAAGGTGCTTTTCAATGTTAAGTACAGAGGCGTTAAGAAAAGTTAAGAGCGATGGATTTATCTATTATCACGATGATGGTAGGGAATTGCGTAAGATTTGAAGGTCTTTTGTTTGTGAAGTTGCGTTCTATTGCTGGATTCATGGGTTCACTTGACATCTGCTGTGTGTTTGGTTAATTGACCCCATCTTTTGAGGGTGGAAGGGATTGCAGCGGCCTTTCTATTTATGAGGAGTGACATGCCTTACTGTCTCGATGTAAGAAACACAGTCTCGACCCCGTGCCCAGGAACAGACAAAAATGAGACAGTATCTTTTCGGAAATTTGTGGATGTAGGTTGTGTCGTGTTCCCAGGGGAAAGTTTTTTGTGCCGATTGTGTTGTTATATGCCCTAAAAGGGGAAAATGGAAGTAGGTGTACGATTACCGAAATGTGCCTTTGTACTTTGTTGAACTACCTTTACTGAATTGAACGTAGTTTGATTTTGTTTTTGTTTAGGGCTAGCTCAGTTGGTTAGAGCGAAGGACTGAAAATTCTTGTGTCAGTTGTTTTGAAAAATTGTGTGCTGGTGTTTCCATTTGCCCTGAAAGGGAGAAAGGAGCTGACGGTGGCTGCCTGCTATGATTCCTATGAAGCAGTCCTGGAATCTGAAAGCTAATGCGTGTGGGGACTGCCATGCACAGATTTATTCCATGTTTCCGGGTGACTGCATGCACCGATGCAGTTTGACCGGATGCGTTTTGGGGATTTTGAAACCTCGTTTGGGTCTGCTACCCCCTTCCCGCCGCCCACTCTCCACCCCTCACCCCTCACCCCTCACCCCACTGTCTACCTCTCACCTTCCAACCCACCCCTCGCCCCTCACCCTGTCCCTGCACGACCCACCTACCACCCCCACCCCTCGGCCCCCATTTTGGTAAATTGAGCCTCAGTAGTCCAGCAGTGAAACAGGGGGGCAAGCTGGCCTGGGTATATATCACCTGGTGGAAACTCCTGTTCTAACACAATTTGCTTTTGTGATTTGCCTGTCTGTGGAAAACGCAGGATAACAATCCATATCTTGGGATTGACTGCAACGACACAGGCACGAATGACATGCGCAAACAAGGCGTCTTTGAGACTTTGATCGGAAAGAGACAGCAGTTGATGCTTGCAACGCAGGTGGTGAAGATGATCCTGAAAATTGATGATGTTATCTCGCCATCCCAGTATGATTAGCGTCGAGGCCAATAACACGGCTGGTTTCTGGCATAGTGTTGAGCAGAAGAGTCGAGTGTTTGTGTCTTGTTAGGTTCCAATGGCATGGTGGTTCCTTGTCTTTTTGTGCAGCGTGTCTGTGCATGAGAGTTTTGTGAAGATGAAACGAGGGGTGCATCCACTCTGATGTTGTCTTCTCACTCAGAGGCAAGTGAGGGTTGGCAAGCGGTAGGTTTAGCGGGTGGACGGTGAGTGCAGGGGCGTGGGGGTTGGCAAGCAGTAGGAGTATGTAGTGCTAGGACACAGATCTCCAGTTCGGACTTCGAGAAATTGAAAAGGATCTGAAAGTTTATTTTTTCTAGAATTTACAATCGGTTATGTTGAAGTTTTTGTTGGATGGACGATTTGAAAAGTGCTATTTCATAAACTTGACTTTGTAAGATGTTGTGGATTCATTGGTTATTAGCTTGTCTACTCTCTCTCTCTCTCTCTGTGTGTGTGTGTGTGTGTGTGTGTGTGTGTGTGTGTGTGTGTGTGTTTAAGGTGTGCGTGTGTGTTTAAGGTGTGTGTATGTGTTTAAGGTATGTGTGTGTGTGTGTGTATGTAAGGAGGGGAAGATGATGAGCATCAGCCTGACCCGTATCTCTATGATGAATACTTTGGGAGTTCTGATCTGTGAGGGCCGAAGATGGGTCCACCTTATGCCAGCATGAGATTGTTGTTCTAATCCACAGAGCTTCATGCATGAATGAAATTAAGATTTACTTATGATGGGAGGGCTACCCTCAATTTTTCCTGTCTTGAATTACACTTACCCAGGTCTGTAATGTGAAAGGTTGAAAATGTGCATGGTGTGGAAACTCGTTTGTTGTGCGGTGTAAAGAACAGAACAGCCATCGATGTTGTTCATTTGTCGTATTGATTGCATTTTTCCCCTTTTCATAACTCAGGTCTGCCTGGCTGATCATGGATTCGCATCCGAAAGTGGATAAAACGTTTTGGAGTGACTGGCGTCATGCATTGTCCTCAGGGAGTGAGGAGTGAGAAGTGGAAATTCTGCATATGTGCACGTACTCCCTTGAACGACTTGTCTAAATGCGTGTAAGCATACATTAAGAAAAACTCGAAAGGAAAATTGCGGTATCGTGTACCCAGTACTACCCAAGTCAATGAAGAAAGTGAAAATGCATCATGTTGGGTGGCTCTTGGTATGCACACGGACAACCTTCTGTACAGGCACTCTAAATGCACACAAGAGTACATCAAGCGATTTTTTTTTTTTTTTTGCCTGGTTCTCATCTCGACGTTGTTAGCCGAATTCAAGTTGAAAACAACAAATATAAGGCATGTACCATACAGTCGGTGTCAGGTGTGTCATGTGTGTTGTGGACGTGAGTACGTGTACTCCTGTATCCAAGACCCACGTACTCGTTGTGATCGGAGTGGGATGGGGGCCTGGAAGTGCAAAAAAGGGGTGTGCCAAGGATCTTAGGATAGTGGGGGTGGAGTCCCAGGTCAGAACTGAAATCTCCTGTGGCAAGCCTTAGGGACAGTTATGCAAGATAGCAAGCGCGATCCGCGTCCGACTTTTATGCCTTGGGGGATGTCATCGTCATCCTCGCGAGTTTCGTCGTTTAGGCCGGGCTCGGATTTGGTGAACCGGCGGAAGGCTATGTGTGTCGCGTTGCGTAATGAATCGCCAGCGTCGCTCGTGACGAGCCTCGGAGTCGGACGAAGCGGCCCTCAGGCGCAGGCTGTGTGCTCGCTGTTCGGCCTCTGTCCGGGTTCGTCGAACGAACACTGCGGCTCGGTACTCGCTATCCTGCTGGCACTAGGAGCACGGGGTTCGACACCAGTAGGGCTGCGAGTGCGTGCCATGGGGCCGCCGTCAGCCAGTGAAAAGGCAACACGAGGCGATAGGGAGCGAAGTTTGTCTCAATGATGACAATACTGGGTTCGGCAATGACGTGGCTTGCGTGTGAGCCAGGGAATTGGGAGGGAAAAGGGATCACGCTCAAGGCCCGTTCAATGTCCTACTCACAGACACATTCAATGTCCCACTCGATGGGTTCGGCAATGACGTGGCTTGCGTGTGAGCCAGGGAATTGGGAGAGAAAAGGGATCACGCTTAAGGCCCGTTCAATGTCCCACTCACAGACACGTTCGTTTCCCGTCTGAAAGGGAAATTTTGGAGGGTTGGGGTGGGGTTGTGTGAGAAGACAGGCGTTTTTCCACTCCCAGTTTTCTCGGAACCGTCCGAGAAGACAGGCGTTTTCCCACTCCCAGTCTTCTCGGAACCGTCGGTGTGTCAGGCTTTCATGATCTGTGACGTGGAAGGGAGTCCCATCATCCATGGTATCGGAATTCTGCTAGTATAGACATGGACTTGAGCGCGGGTCTGGTTGACGCGCGTGTAGGGAATGTCTGTTTTGGTCGAGCCTGCATGTACTGGCTGTCCCTTTGCTGGTCCGTGCGTGTCAAGAAACAGACAGTAGGAAGGCAATTAGCGGGCAATCACACATTTGAATCAGCCATCCACTTATCTACCAGAGCATACATCAGCGGGGACCGCGGAGTGTTTGTTAGATGCATCTGTGTGATCCGGCAGAAACTGTGTCAAGAATCGGGGGATTGGTCCGCTCGTTAACGCATTTTCCCAATACTCAGAGGCATCAATCGCACTCATGCATCAATCAAACTGGAGGGCTGTGTGAATCTCCAGAAAAGCATAAACGAGAGATCGACAAAGGTTTGTGCATCAAGCTAGGTCATCATAACCCAAGCTCACTGGGGTCACGCGCAGACCATCGTCGTCCCCGATCTCACCGTACTGCAATGAAACAGAAGTGAGGGGGAAAATCAGACTGATTACTAAGAAAATCACGAACCAGGGGTAGTCATGAGTAAAAGAGGACCGAGGCCACTTGTCAAAATTACATAACCGAGAAAAAGGACACCATCCCACACACACAAGATCCGAAGGTTGGCACTTCTGTAATATGCATGAAGAGCGCATCCAACCCGAGCGCAGAATGTGGATTAGAAAGTGATGCAATTTGTGTTAAACTAGTCATCCAAAGATTGCGAGAGGAGGGGTGAGGGAAGCGCGCGAGCTCATTCCACACACACCATAAGCAGAAAATCCAAAATGATCCGCAAGAAGATCCGACCACACACACCATAAGCATAAAGTCCAAAATGATTCGCAAGAAGATCTGAAATGGCCGTAACAAGATCGGCCAAGGTTGAAATCAAAATTTATACAGAGGGTTAGAGAAAGGCATCATCGCACACATACATCTCTCTCTCTCTCTCTTTCTCTCCAGGCTGCATCACCTCTCTCTCTCTCTCTCTCTCTTTCTCTGCAGGCTGCATCACCAGGGTTATACAGAGGGTTAGAGAAAGTGCCTACGCCTACATGGCCAAGCCTTGGTGTGGGAGATGCAGCCACACTCCATGCATCGATCCGGTCATGCAGTCGCTCAGGCCAGTTAGTGTGGAGGACGAGGTATGCATGACAAGGGGGTGAAAAAAGGCGGGGAAACACAGGAGAATCAAGGAGTACAGTTACAATTGCGCCTGCCAAAAATTACAGTTACATGCAGGATTAAGGGCGCGATACAGTGAGAGCCCAGTCCCCACTGCGCCGAGAGGTGCGCGAGCAAGAACTGCGGCGCAACAAGATTTCAGAGCACCTAAATTCTTAGTGGACCCGGTTTCCAGCACGTGCTGCTCCCCATGAATAGATTGGAGCAAATTGTCCAAAAAAAAGAAAAAAAAAAGGTCTGAATCCTATTTGCAAAGCACCCCGAGCACTCACTCGGGTTGTTTATTGGGGGGGGAAAAAAAGAAACCCCGAAAAGACAAAAGAAAACAATTCCGAGAGTCTGTCATCCGTTGTAAATTTGAAAAACAACGTTCCCGCGCACCGTCAAAATTCCTATCTCCCACAGCAGAACAAGAAAGAAGCTATGGCAACCGTTATATATCACGCTCACTAAGGCGCGGTCACTCAATCGTCGTCGCAAGACTGTCCCGGCCCTGATCCCGAAAGCAAAAAGAAAGAAGCGACTGTATCCATGCAACTTGTCCAGCTAACCCCCATCTATGCATTCCACCCGACCAACCAGTCCCCAACCCCGAAAGCCGCTTCGCGCAGAAAGTCGTGCGATTACAAAAAATAGTTCGTCACATATGTGACGCCCAAGGGGTTCCAATCTTGAGCAAGCTCCTGCTTGCTCTCTCATCAAGTGTCGCCCCGTGATCCGAGGATCGAAGTGGAGCTTGCACGTGCCACTTACCGTAAGATCCGAGTGTGGAAGTCATCCGTCGTGGCATTCGTGCGCTTCAGTTCTTAAACGTTATCCGGGAAAGACAACCTAATGACGGGTGGAGGCCGCGAGGGATGGACTTGAGGAAGGGGTGGCATGAAGCGACGGATCTCTTTGTCGTTAGTGGGGAGCGGGACATAGTGGACAGTGCGATGGATATGAGGAAAACGCGGGTGTGGACGTTGGTGGGGGAGAGAGGCGAGGTAATCGGTGTGGAGAAAGTGCAGAGGATGTGGCGGATGGCAACGTGGAAATCCTCATGGTCTTCACACGCAGGGATTGTGCCCGCGATCATGCAATAAAGCTCTATATTATTAAATTCCTGCCACTCTACGCTAAAGAGAAGGACGTGGAGGGGGAAAGAGGTGGCGAGCGGGCGAGTAGTAGCGTGTGGGAAGATAGTGATCAGGAGGCGAGTGGAGTAGAGATGGTGGAAGAGGGAAGGCGAGAAGGGGTGCCATCCGTCAGGGAATGGTGGTCGGCCTACGAGCTTCTAAAGAGTGAAGTCACGGGGACGGCGGGATAATGACCGAGGGCGAAGCCCGAGCGCCCGCATCTCGACGTAGGCGAAGGCTGGGCCGGGGAGAGGATTGGGTCGGGGATTCACTTCTTCGGCGCTATGTTGCAGGCCCGGCTGCGGCGGGGGGGTCCGAATCGGCCGCGGCCTAGGCCGATGACCGAATCGGCCCGGTTCAGCCTGGGCCGACCAGCCGAGTTCCGTACATGATTTTTTTTTCCCATTTTTGAAGTGAAAAAAAAAAAACAAAATGGGCGTGTAGGGCTGAAAAAGCCCTACACGCCCATTTTTTTTTTTTTTTGTGTCAGACCTTCCGCGCCGCGCCGAAAAAAAAAACGAAAAAAAAAARAAAAAGAAAAAGGGACCGGTGGGCCGTTTTGGCCCTGTTCCGGTGCCAGCGGGTGAGGGGCACCGTGTGGGCACTGGGCAGTGTGAGGAGGGCGGTGGGTCCAGGCCCAGGCCATGGCAAAACTGTTGCCGTTTCAGATAAATGCTGCCATTTATCTCAAACGGCAACAGTTATTGCTGTTGCCGTTAGGCTGCTCGCATGGTGAGAGAGAGAGAGAGAGAGAGAGAGAGAGAGAGAGAGAGAGAGAGA